CAAGGATATTCAGGGTTACTAGATGGAGAACATTTCGTTTTCATGTTGTGGTTTCACTTTCTTGTCCCTGAAACACTTTCTCAGAGCTTTTATATGATACCTCATATAGTAGTATTATAGTAGCTTATGATTAAAGCTTTCGCTAGGTCTTAAGTAGCAGCACATAACTAAAAATAAAGGAGGAGGAATATGGCACAGTTAAATCAAGTGATGTGAGCAACTGTGGTTGTATAGTCTTTAAACCAACTTGACCAGTGTTCTGGGTTGATTCATCAGTCCTCCAAATTCATCAGAGCTGAGGAATATCTCCTGCCCTTGATATCTGACTTAGCCATGGGTTAAAACTCTACTGGCTGAGTTTGCATCAATATTAGTCTTCCTGAACTCTCTACTGTAATGCCATAGAAACCAAGGAGTCTTTCAGGAATATTGCTGGGATTAATGATCAAATGTGTCATGACCACATGACCAGCTGATAATACTTCTGACCTAGTTACCCAAAAGGAGCTCTGATATGCTAGGGCAAACAAATGGAAACTAACTAGTTGGTTTTAAATTAAAAGCAAAGAGGAAGAAAAATGTTGCAATAATCTTATTTAAAGACTCTAAAAGTCAGAAGTTCCTCCGTTTTGAGTCTCTGGAACAGACTCTACTTGCCACATGGAATTCAAGTAAATATCTTGTTGCTGCAAGTAATATCTTAGGTAGTTAGGGCAGTTGGAACAGGATGGAAAGAGAAAGCCATTTGTCAAATACCTGCCAAGTCTCCTTACTGGCGACAAACATGAAATACTATGAAGACCTTTGTTTTTTTCCTTTGGCAACAGGTCACGTGGATGCTTTTACTTAACATGATTAAGGGAAATTTCATAGTTTGTAGAAGAAAATCTATTTCTCCTAGCCTTATAAATATGTGTATAAAAATAGAAATCTTTCAGAGAATCAAAAGTAGATCAGGATATGTCAGAAAGTAGGAGAATTCTTTTGTTTCCATTCAAGTGGATTAGCCTTTCAATATGAACTTATGGCTATTTGCTGAAAGCTGATTTGAGCTGAAAGCAGATCAGTTCCTTAAAAGAATTCAGGACTGAGTAAGAAATTCTGGCTTTTACAAGATTGATATTCTTAGCCCCTCATCCATTTGTAGAGTATACAACGATGGGCATCTCCCGTTATATCTTTCAGAGAAACCAGAGGCAACTGAATGCTCATCCTTTAATATAGTGCTTACAATGAATGAGATATGCTGTAAACTGAGTCTGCTAGGTGTAGAATTTATTGTTCAAGGAGAAGAGTTAATTGAAAACAATTAGCTTACCAGTATTTCCTTGGTACCCCAAGTCTCCTGGGCCTAAGTATAGGAATTACCATTGTTTATGAGGCTACCCCATGATATAACTTCCAGATGGATGGTCTTTTAAAAACTACATCTTAAAACCAAATCACATTACTGAGCTCCAACTTGTTTTACAAAGAGATGTCTTTGTGTGCTGATGCTGGAAACCCCTGAGGAAGAAATTTAAATACATACTCGGATGCATTTCTAAGGGAATACTGCACTTTGGTGGTTTTTCTTTTCTTTTTTTTTTTTGTTTTGTTTTGTTTTTTGTTTTTTGTTTTTAAACAGCTACCCAAACCTTTATAGCTCTCCTAATTCCACAGTAATTTGTAAGTAACGTTAAGTAAATTAAACCTTGGAAGCACTACAGCAACCTGTTATCATCCATTACTGGAACAGGATAACTGGCTTTAGAGCTTATGGTTTGGCAGCAGAATTTATTGCTGTTTCTTTGAAAAATAGTTAAGCCATATCATCTAAGGTTTTTGGCTTGTTTGAGATGTGAATTTGTTTTATAGATTATAAATATACATATGCAGTGTATGTATAAAGCAGATTGCCTGTCCTTCCTGATTATTTTTTGTACCATATTGTAAATTATATTATTTATTCTTTACCAATTTTGGAAAAAAAAGGTGTTTTGGCTATTTAATATAATAAAAGCTGTTAAACTTCCTATGTTTAAATTTCCAGTTCAACTTGTAAATCTGTTTTTATTATTGTGCATAAATACATACTAATACTTGATCTAATAAGTGTCCTTTTCTGCTTGATTTTTCTGTTTTGATTTGCATTTTCCACCTGCAATGGATATAAGTTATTGTTATTACTTAAAATTTAGATTTCTGAAAGAGCTAGCTGCTAAAGGAAAATTACACCTAAACTTTTCTTAGGGAGGTAGTGAGGATCAAATGAGATAATATTTGTAAACTGCTTAGCACAGCATTTGACACATAGGCATTTAATAAATCCTCTCTCCCTTTCTTCTTTCCTTCTCCCTCTGTCCACATAGGGAGTCATACCCTTAGGACATTGCCAGTTTTCCTGACCTATGTCACACAGCCTGTGCAAAGTCCTTTCCTTCATTCCTTCCTTTCCTTCCCCCCCCCCCCCCCCGTCCACATGGAGAAATCATATCCTTACATATGGGTGCTCTGTCCAAGGAATATAAATTTTGATTACTTACACTTCACAAGATATCTTGAGATTTGGGGGCTAGATTTTTTTTTCTTTCCTACTTATTCTGTCTTTTTTTTTCCTCCAAAAAGTGGAACAATTTTGTCTCATGTAGTTTTCATTTATGATTTCTTGAAGTACAGTTCTGGAAAATCAATCTTTGATAAAGCCCTTGGGACTCAAATGGAGCTATTTGACTATGCCTTTAAACCCAAATCACTCTGGCTCTCACCGCCTAACAGATCCCAGCTTTGGGATTTGATGGGTGTGTGTGTGTGTGTGTCTGTGTCTGTGTCTGTGTCCAGGGCCATTGCCAGTCCTTACCTGTGTCTTGCTGCTGTACTTTGATGACTCTGAAGGAGAGAGTTAAGGCTGATGACTTTGTATATCCCTGCCTTATTTAAATCCAATTCATTTTTTTATTAATTTATTTTGATTTATCAACAATCACTTCCATATGCTCTCAAGTTCAAAATTTTTCTCCCCCTTCCTCCCCACCACCCTCCCCAAGATGGCAGACAATCTGATATAGGCTGTACATCTACATTAATATTAAACATTTTCACATTAGTGATGTTGTAAGTAAAAATTAAAACCAATAGGAGGAACCATCAGAAAGAGGAAACAAAACTCAACAGAAGAGGAAAAAAAAATAGCAGTTCAACTTCCATAGTTCTTTCTTTGAATATGGATAGCATCTTCCTCCACGAGGCTTCTGGAGATGTCTTAGATCCTTATATTGCCAGGAAGGGTTAAGTTTATCAATTGTCATCACACAACGTGGCTGCTACTGTGCACAACGTTTTCTAGGTTCTGCTCATATTCACCCAGCATATAGAGAACAGAAAGAGAGAGAGAGTGAGAGATTTATTCTAAAACTGTTGAGTCTGAGGCCAGATTTGAACTCAGGTGCCCCGACTCCAAGGCTAGTTCTCTATTCATTGTATCACCTATCTGCCCCCAACATCCTCACTTCTGTACCCTTATTCAAAGTTTTAATACAGGGTAAAATGAAGATCTAAAACAGAAATATAGAATTGAAAGTTGCTTCTAATGTAATTGCATTTTTTATTTTGTAAATAATAGTATGAATGCTTTTTGATCTTTAATCGGCCCAAAAATGTTTACTTAACACTGAAAATCTGTCCCCCTTTCAAAGAAAAACTGAGTGGTGAATAGTTTGTCACCAATTGCTCTGTAGATAAAAACAAAGGAAACAATTTAGTGCTGTGAGGCTGCAGTGAAATGAAATTCTACAATTGTAGCTGAATAGATAATATCTTGGAAAAGCTGACTAAAGATTTTCCTACCTTCCCATTCTCCCTTTCCGTTCTTAACTGGAAATGCCCAGGTGCTGCTACATCTATTAAATGCTTGTGTTGGGAAGAGAGTACCTTATACCTTAGGAACCAGAGGAGATAAGAATTAGGTAAGACCAGGTCTCTGAATTTAAACTTTGTCCAATAATGTAATACAATCACTTATTAAATGCCTATGTAATAATCCCTCCTTTCCAGGGAGTTATGGTTTTACTGGGAGATAAAAGCAAAAGGTAAAAGGGGGAGGGTGTGTGCAGGGAAGGAAAAAGATAATAGAAGCAAAGATCTAGTTGGGCTTTTTTTTTTTAATAGGAAAAAAGATAACAGCTTATGGCACTTCAAGGTTTGCAAAGTACATCACATATGTTCTCATCCTCACAACAGCCCTGAAAGGTAGGTATTATTAGCCCCATTTTACAGATGGGAAAACTGGGGAAAACAAAATTAAGTGATATACCAGGGGGTCACTCGGCAACTGTTTGAGGCAGGATTTGAACCGAAACCTTTCTGATTCCAGGTCCAGCACGGTGCACTTTGCCATCTCACTAGGTGAATTTTTGAGAAAATATTCATATCCTTTGACCAAGTTATCTATCACGTAATGGCTTTTGATCACATATTTCTGACATTTATTTATGTAACCCTTAAAAGATTTTTTTTTTTGGTAGAAATATTGTTTCCCAGTTACCGCTTTCCTTCTTCTAATTTTGTTCATGCAAAAGAAGAGCTTATATTCCAACCCACAGATGCGCATGTACAAGACCCACAGAAGTGTTGCTGGGGAATAATTATGGTGGCCCTCGAACTGAGTCTTGAAACTGATAACCAAGGCTTCCAAGACAAGGAGTTGAAGACAACTCTGGAGAAGGCTGGAAGAAGCCCGTGCTCCCCCGCAGAGCGGCGCTCGCCGCCCCGTCCTTCCTGGACTGGGCTGGGGTGGGCGGGAGCGGAGAGGGGATGTTAGAGATTCCCTCCCGCCGGAGGGAGGCGGGGGCGGGACGAGGGGCGGGGCGCTGAGCGACGATGGGCTCTGAGGCCCTGATTGGCGGCCGCGGCGCCCAATGGGCGGGCGACCAGCGGCCCCCCTCCTGCGGCGGTGGGTGGGAGCGGGAACAGTGCTGGTCCGCAGTGCGAGAGGAGCGCCGTAGCCGCCGCGGCTCCGCCACCACCGCCGCCGCCGCTTCCGCCGCCGCCGCTTCGGCTGCCACTGCCACCGCATCCGTTGTCACCATGTTCCAGGGGCGAGAGAACGAGGGCGGCAAGCCAAGTTCCAGGTGCGGCCGGCCGCGGGACGGGCCGAGGGAGAGACTGAGCCGAGCCGAGCCGAGCCGAGGCGGCGCCTGCCCGGCCAGCCGCCCACCCGGCCCGGGCCACGTTGAGGAAGGAAGCGAGGGGGGCGGGGCAGGCTGGCCCGGGGTGTACGGGGCCGAGAACGGGGTGATCGAACGGAGGGAGCGCTCTCGTGGGCTGAGGCCGGGGCGGGAAGAGGGGCCTGGGCAGGGACCCTTGGGGGTCCGGAGGAGGGAACAATTGGGGGCGGGGGAGAGGGAAACAATTGGAGGGAGCGCGGGGAAAGTGGGGGAGGGGAGATCTGCCGAGGGGAGGGAACGGGAGAGGAGAAGGTGGGTACCAGGGGGTGTGGCATCGGAGGTGTGAGGAGCCGCCGCCGGGCGGGGAGGGGGAGGAGGCGCGGATGGGCTTTGGGGCGTGTTGCGGCGCGTTGGGTGTTCCGAGAAGACTGGGTCAGGGTCTAAGAGGAGTACGGATTGCCCTGAGTGCAAAGGACCTTTACACTAAATGTGCTTATTAACCCATTTGGTTTCACGTACCAGTGTGGTGAAGCCTGTAGACCCTTTCTGAATGTTGCAATAAAATGTGTAAGATTACAAAGGAAGCTAATTATATTGAAATAGTTATTAAAAAAATTTTAAATCACAGAACCCGGGTTATAAACAACTACTTCACACCTAGCGTTGTATGCACCCTTAGATATTATTTAAACTGGGTTTCAGAAGCTTGGAAACCCTCCTTAGAAAGAGTTAACAGGTCAACTTTGGGCCATTCGTTTTAGAGTACAACAGTGATGAGCACCTTAGAAATGATGGCATTTTTTAACTCCTGATCTTAATTGAATTTCATGTTGAAATTAGGTATACAGGCAATGTGACCTAATAAATAGGATGTTGGATGTGATCTGTCTAGCTTAGGACAATAAATATAATAACCCTAAGATCACTTTCATTGTGCTCTAGGAAAATGATGTTTAAAGTTTTCCATCTATAAATTATACAAATGAAAAGCCCAAGGTAACATGAACTAAAAGAATCTTTGTTGAGACCAGAAAATTTCCCCAAGCTGAACATTCAGCTGAATATGCAGGGTTGTGGAAGTTTAGGGAAGAGTTGTGGTGCCAGGAGTCTTGGAAACAATGACAATGTTTGTGTACCAGCAGAGCTTAGGTGGCTTATGACTAAGCTCTTATTTCTCTTTTGTAGTTTCTCTCTTCGTGTATGTGGTATGGGCACATCTGTATAATCATCAATTTAGTTTGCTCTGCACTTATCAAGATGCTATTGAGTGCATAAATCTGGTTTGTAAAACTTTGTTTTGCCCATTTTGTCCTTTTCCTGAATATATGAGAGATGCCCTTATCAAATGTGTCCCATCACTTTGATTTTTGATTCAAAAAATAAAAATCTCTAAAACACTATTTGATAAGTTTTGGAAATAAATGTGTTGGTATTGCCTCATGAAGTCTTCCAGAGCTGCTTAATGGCTGAACTTGTTTGATAAATTTTCAATTATTTAGCTCAAATATGGAAATATTCTTTTATCTGTCTCCAGCGTACCGAGATCTTCTTTGCCCTGTAGCATAGTACATTAGAGTGGTACATTTCACACTTATAGTGGCTTTGTTTCATTTTGTTTTGCAAAAGGAAAATGCCCTCAGTTCATAGTTTCAAGAGAAGGCAAACCAGCATTTCTCTGCAGATTTATATTTGGGAGCAGAAAAGTGTCCTTCCTAAATTGTTATTGTTCTAGCTGAATGGTGAGGTCCCAACTTTAAGGGATTTTTGTAGATACTTGAGACTTGAATGTTTCCACCTTCTTGCTTTGAAGTGAATCAGTTTCCTTTATAATAGGTACTTACCTCTTAATTTTCATTAACATTAGTTGTCATCCTTTGTTTTTTCTAAAGGATTATGTTGCTTAAAGGGATTCTAAAAAGATTTTGTGTGGCATAATGATGTGGCCATCATTAATAATTAATCAAATCTTTCTTAAAGCTATAAAATGTACCTTTTGAAGAATTTGGTTTGGGTCTAGCTTCCTTTGCTGCTACCAGCATAGAGAAGGAAACACAATTTGCAGTCCACACTTGAGCTTAGTTTTCTCCCCAAATGTTGGAAGAGACTTGTGGAATTATAGGTATTGGTTTTTAAAAAGGAAAAAAATTTCTCATTATGAGTTACATTTGGATTTTTTATTCATCTATTTTTGCTCCATAATTTGAGTTGCTTTTTTTTGTTTTTTATTTTATCTTAAAATAAAATTTAAATATTTTATTTTTTAAAAAATGAATTCTACTAAGTATAGTTTTAAAAGTAGTGTATGAGTGAAAACAAAATAGCAAGTGTTTCACCCTTTTACATAAATCCAGAGAGCTTCTTAGCACATGAAAATCCTTTATCACCTTTCCTGCATAATGTCAGAGTGGTAATCTGATGGCAAATCTGATAGAATTAGGAACCTGAAAAGTTAAAAGAACAATTACTATGGATTTTATATTTTTATCTAAGTTTCTATTAGCTCCACAGACTGATTTGAAAACTAGAATTATCTGCTTGTACTAGGTTGCAGGAATTCTGTAATTATATAACATGTGTAGAACTTAAATTATTGGTTCTTCTTTTGCCTATTTGACTGAGTTGGCTTCTATCACTTTCTAGGCATTAGGAATTGACCAAGGATTTTTGAAGCTTGGGATATTTAGGATAATAATCTGTAGCCAAAATATTCTTTTATTTGTCTTTCAGCATTCTTTTTTTTTTTAAACTCAATTGCTTTTTCTACAGTGTTACTTTTTTTCTATGCTCAAGTTTTTAAAATAGGAGAGTCTTTATAAACATCCCTGTGCTTAAAATCAGCCACATTACTAGACTTAGTAACTGACATATAAATTGATGTTTCCTCTCCTTTAAAATTTCTTATTCTCAGTTCATGAAGTGAGCAAACATTTCTTTGAATGGTGGCTTTACCTTATTTTTTAAATGCTAGAGGAAGGAGAATATGCTTCTGTCACTTATTTATCCTTGAGAGAAGTGAATGTAATAATATTAACTTCTATATAGTGCTAAACTTTTACATATATTACCTCATTTGCCTCTTAGCAACCTGATAATGGAGGCAGGGGGTAATATTGTATAATCAGAAACTGAGATTCATAAGTTAAGTAACTTGTCCAGTCATTCAGTCAGTAAGCATTTATTAAGTGCCTTCTGTGTGCCAGACGCTATGCTAAGCACTAGTGATACAAAAGCAAAAAGACAATCCCCATCCTCACAATCAAATGGGGCAGTGAAAACATGCAAACAGCTATCTATGTACAAAGAAGCTATGTACAGCATAAATAAGAAGTAATCAAGGGAAAGAAAGTAAGTCACCATAATATATGACTGGAAACTTGTCTTCTCCCAGCCATCTTAGGGGAAGCATTTCTTGAATTACTGGAATTTTAATGGTTTTCAGTAATTAAGGGAGAGAGATGACTTCATAGGAAGTGGTGGGTTACTCTTGCAGTCAAGAAGAATTTTGAAGAAGAGCTAAAGGAAACCTTAGAGGGTTGGGCTAGAGGGGAACACACACAGACACACACACACATAATATATATATACATATACAAAATCTTTATTTTAATATACATTGTGTGTGTGTGTGTGTCTAAGTCAGTGAACAACAACAGAATGCTTTCATGCCAAGCATCATATAAACAGCATTTGATATGAAAGGCAGTGGGGAACTCCACTGAGTTGAGTTGAGAACAAGTCAGATGGTCCACATAGTGAATAAATATGTGACTTTAATCCCTGATTTTGAGTATTGCTTGAAAAAGAGAAAATTGAAAGTGAAGAGAGCTATAAAAAGATTTCAGTAACTCTGGCATGAGATGAAAGTGCCTGAATAGTTACTTGGTTATAGAGATGAATAAGAAGGGTTAGGTTCAAAAAGTAGTATAAACTTAATTGTTAAGTTTACAAATGGCCTCAATTAATTTAAAATGCACTGAATCCAAACCTGATGCTCTCTATATATAGTGAAATAGTGTTAAATTCGGTTCAACTTGGTGAATTTATTTCCTTTTCCTTTAGAAAGAGAACTGTCTGGGCCTAGGAATGTTAGACTTGCTGCATCTAGCCAAGGAAAATACATAAACTCTAGTTAAAACTAGAACTGTAGTGACTTATAAATGTTTGTTGGATTCAAAATAACGTATCCACCAAAGTACTTTATGTCTTGCAAGCCTTGTTTATAACAGGAAATTAAATCAAACCAAAAGTTTCCCCACTCTCTTAACCCCTTTTCCCCATCCCTTAATGCTTCCATCAAATCTTTCTCCAGGAAATGATAACTGCTAAATTGTAAACTTCAGCTTATGCTTTTGCCTGTTCTTTTACTCAAGCAGTCAGGGATACATTGGCATCATATCAAAAACCCTGGCACTACCAGCTGTTGTACTTGGCTTCTATTGTGTTTACTGACTGACCCATGTATATTGTCAAGTTGTGGTGTCTGGCAACCTTATTTTCTCTTTGCAAAGAAATGAGTCTGCCATACTATGTATCCTTGTTCTACAGATCTGAGAACTTCCTATTCCTTTGAATTAATAGTAAATTAGCTTCCTTTCTGCTGTTTTGTAAACAGAAATAACAAGGATATTAGAGGGGAAAAGTGTGAGGTTTCTCATTTACTTTGTTGTCAACTGCTAGATTGCATGAGAAAATAATTATGTTGCAGTGACCTAGTTCCTTAAAGTTATAATAAATGTGAAGCAATATCTAGATTTTACCCTTATAAAAATATATTGAGCTATTCTAAATATCATGTGAGGGGTTTAAAACCAGAATTGGCAAAGACATAGTGAAGAGAACATTGGATTTGGGAGTCCTAGGCACTACGTTCCAATTCAGCTCTACTTATTAACTGAGTGACCTTCAGTATTTAAACAAGCATATAAAAGGGCAAAAACCAATCTTTACCCTCGAGGATTGTACATTCTAATGGGGAGAGACAGCATGTAAATAACTAGGTAAAGAGAACTTTCAAGATATATACAGAATAGAAGAAGGTATCTGAAAGAAGAAAGCATAGACGGGAAGGGGAGTTAGGTTGTGGAGTGAGTCTTGAGGGAAGTCAGGGAAACAAAGGCATAAAGATGAGGATGCAGACCCTTCCAAGAATGGGACACTACTGTTGCAAAGGCCAAGAAAATGAGAGATGGAATGTGGTGTTTGAGAAACTGCAAGTGGAGGGGCAGCTCGGTGGTGCAGTGGATAGAGCTCCAGCCTTGGAGTCAGGAGGACCTAAGTTCAAATATGGCCTCAGAAACTTGACACTTACTAGCTGTGTGACCCTGGGCAAGTCACTTAACCCCAGGTGCCTCACCAAAAAAAAAAAAAAGAGAGAGAGAAACTGCAAGTAGACCAGAGTAGTTGAGTCAGTTTTTGGAAGGATCATGTTTAAAAAAGGCTGATAAAGGTAGGAAGGGACCAGGTTAAGAAGAGCTTTAAATGGCAAACAGTTTAGTTTTGACCCTAGAGGTCATCAGGAGCCATTGGAGTTTATTGAGCAGAGGCTGGGTGATATGATCAAAACTGTTTTCCAAAAATTACTTTGTCATAGATTGGGGAAGGAAGAGTCTTCAGGCAGGAAGACCAGGTAGGAAACTTATCACTGTAATCCTGGAGAGGTGATGAAGGCCTGTTATGAGTAGAAAGAACAGGACACATACCAGAAATGCTGAGAATGTAGAAATGACAAAATCTGGCCATTGATTTGGGTATGTGGAATGAGTGAGAGGGAAGACTAAAGGATGATAAAACTGATTTTTGTAGACCTGGGTGATTGGGAATGTGATTGATGGCCCTCAACAGTGATAGGGAATTTGGGAAGAGGAATGGAGGTTTTTGGGGGAAAGGTGATGAGCTCTGTCTTGTAGATTCATTTAAGATCCAAAATGATACAGTACTGGCCTTTCAGATAAAGCTAGAAGCTTTACTGTGACTCAGTGTGTCTTCTCTGTCCATAGGGTAATGAAACCCCCTGGAGGAGACTCAAGCAATCTCTTTGGAACTCCAGAAGAAGTTATTCCTTCAAGTAGACCAAATAGAATGGCATCTAATATCTTTGGAGCATCCAAGGAACCTCAGAATACACCCAAAAGGTCAAATCCTCCAGGTGAGATTCTCTTTTCAGCTCTCATCTTCTCCCCTCTCTTCACCTCCCCCCTCCAGTAGCTACTACCCTTTTCAATGACTACTTTGGTAACATTTTCTTTATTTTTCTTTTCCTTTTTTTTCCTTTTAAAATTGGATCTTCTGATATAGGACAGGTCTTATTTTTCAGGTTACTCAAGAAGAAAGGTCTCACTTTGTTTCCTATTCCCTCTTTGGCCTGGGAGCTCAAAAGTCTGATCTTCTTAAATAGTTACAGGTGAAGAAAAGGAATAGGAAAAATCTTTATCTTAGTTGTATTCTTGTCCCAGTGCCTAGATACTTAGAGTATTAGTCACCCCAAAGTGTTTCCCAATATCCAGAAATTAGAATTATTCTACTCTTACAGATTTAAGAGGTGGGGCCTGGGAATAAGTTAGATAATACAGCATATCAAGTAGAACCAGTACTAGAAGACCCTCTAAAACTGAGCCCAGACTGTTCCTTTAAGAACATGAAATTAAAGATTCAGTGAGCTGAACGTCGTTTTGGAAAATAGAAAAGTTTTGAGAAGGAAGTGTTATTTATGTGTCCTGCCTTAGGTTTTTGAATAGGGTTCATGTTTTTGTTGGTATCCAGCACTTAAGCACTCATGAATGTAGAGATTTAGTAGTACCAGGACTGACCTTACAGACTGTTTATATGAAAATATCACAGAATAATACGTTTCATTGAAGACTGCAACAAAATTTAAGCCACTTCAAGGTGAATGTACCTAGCTCATTTAACACTGATTTAATAGGATTATTGTTAGGTGCACTCCCTGGAGACTGTTCTGAGTTGCTTTGCAAGGCATAGCAGCTAACAGTCATTGTGACACAAGATTGAATAAAAAGCAAAACTTGGGATACAGAAAGATCTCAGTTGCATTAGGATTCTGTATCTCAACAGTAGAACTTCAACTTCACAGCATGGAAAAATGAATGAGGAATCATTATGCCTAGGGATTGGAAAACTTTTTGTTTTATTCATATATAGAAGATTTAGTTGTATCCAGGGATCATCTCTGCAAAAAGTCCCCCTTTGAATGTTTTTCCTATAGATTTTCCTTTGACAGTAATCCCTAGCAAAATGTCAAACTACCTCAAAAATAAGATGACTTTGGAACTTAGCCACCATTCCTTCAAGGCATTAAAGTGGGGTTTCCTCTCTTTAACTTTGATCTTGGGGCTACAGTTGTATCTCTTACTACTGTTCAGTACCCCTCCTCTGTAATGCATCATCTAGATCCTCACACACACAGAATATGCTTTATATTTTACCACAGTGTGAGGAATTTTAGAACATAAAGTGTAAAGGGAGGCACATTATAGATAGAGTCTAGTTTTGGGAAACAATATATTTCCTGTTTTTGTTCTTTTTACACTTCATTTCCAGATCAGGTAGACTTGTTCTCTTAATCTCTTGGTCTCTGGGGAATCATTAGTCCATGACTAATGGAAAGTACAGCTCCCTGGGGTTTAGACTAAAATCCACAACCAGACAGTTCCTAGTTTTGCTTAGCTAGTTCTGTATCTTCCTTGAATTCTGTACCCAGACATTTTTTAGTCTTTTCTATATTTCTGCCCTTTCCTTCCTCCCAACCTCTTGAATTCTGTTTTTTCTTTGTTTCTTTCCTATGAGATCAGAATGATAGCCCTAACTACCATAAATTTACATTTATAAAACTATATTCATATGAGAGTGATCATGTACCTTTTGGTTGTAGATGACTAATAGGCATACAGTTAAGGAGGAGTCTCAAGCCTCATTCTTTCTTCCTCTCCAGTTGCTACTTTCTGTTTGCTGCAATGTTACTTCTCAGCAGTATCCTTTGGCACAAAGAAGTCACTAATTGGAAGACCACAGGGTCTCAGTTACCCCTAGAATATAGTACAAACTACTCTTTTTAACATTTAAAGCCTGAATTTCACTTATTTGTTCATTTTTATTATATACTGCTCCCTTTTGTGCCCTCTGTGGTCTGGCCAAACAGGCCTTTTTGCTGTTCCTTGTATGTAAGAATTCACCCTCCACCTATATCCTTTGGCACAAGCTTTTCTTGCCTGGAACTCATTCCCTTTTCACCTTCACCTCTAGAGTTTAGTTTGGTATTAAATTCCTGAGAACCATCCTCTCTCTGGTTCAGAAGTTGTAACACCTTTTTGACTGAGACTATTTTCTGAAATGTTCACTTATATATGACATAGCCAGATAAATTACATTGATAGTCTTGAAAGGTAGAGGTAGTAATGGAAAGAGCACCAGACTGAGTCAGGAATTTTGGGTGTATCTCAGCTTCCAGTGCTACTAACTGTGTGACCTTGTCTCTTTGAGCCTCAGTTTCCGCTTCAAACTATGAACCCCCCATCATCTTGGGATCTTTGGAATGGGGATAATAGCCATTTTACTTTCTACCTCAGAAACTGGTTTTGAGTAAAGTGCTTTGCAACTATAAAACACCATTTAAACATGAGCTGTTCTGATGTGATTAATTCTGCAGGAGGCAAAGGAAGTGGTATCTTTGAAGAGCCTACTCCTGTGCAGGCTCGATATCGTTTGAATCCCCCTGGTGGGAAGACCAGTGACATCTTTGGGTCTCCAGTCACCATTACTGCGCCCTTAGCACACCCAAACAAGCCCAAGGTATGGACTTCTTGCATTCAGATAGCTGTGGCTGGAGACAAAAAAAAAAAAAGTTTCTGCCAGTAGATTCATTAAGGAGCTCTCAGGCATGGAGGATTGAGCTATCAGGAAGCAACAAGTTTAATATTTTCCTAGATGTAGCTATCAGTTATATAAAATTGTGACTCTTCCATCATTAGTCATCTGTCTTTTGATATCAAAGAAAATCTTGAAAACTGAAATCTTGAAAACAATGACTCTCTAAAAAGAAGTCTTAGTAGAGCCTTAATTTTGACCACAGAGAGTTTGAGCCTCAAAATACCATCAGTCTTTTAATTCTAATTGTAGTTGGAATAGTCATAATGTTAACAGATAAAAATTGAACTTACAGTAGAAAAAGTCAATTTTGAAAACATAAAATTGAAGCAACTGTTTCTTTCCACCAAGTCTCTAGCCTAAGAATTCCTTCTCTCTGCTCCTTACATTATATCTGTTTCTTAAAGAACGGCCAGCCTGAGTACTAGCTATCTGAAGTAGGAAGTAATACGAGCCATATATTTTTGACTCTAATATTCTAAGCTAAGTCTGTTCCCCATTAAGTTACTGGTAGCAATGTGTCCTTCTGCCTCAATATTTTACACTGAGAGATCATCTTGAAAATCTAGAGTTTGAAAGTGAAAAAGACTTTGGCCTTTGAAGATGCTGACTGAATCCATGTATGTGGCCTTCCTTTAGTGAGAGATCAAGTCATTGAAGTCAGTGATAGTTTTGCTAAGTCCCACAGCCTGTGATAAATTGACTTAGCCTTTCTTTTGGTTCTTTGTTCCAATTTGTCTGTGTTGGATAAGGCAGTTGGAACTCTGAGACTATCCTGTAGAAACCTAGAGAAAATTCTTGATGTTAACAAATTATTTTCTGTAGGACACTCCTACATACCTTCTCCAGACAACAAGGTGTATTCTGTAATCTTGAGTGCCTAGAGCAGCAAGCTCACTGCCATTGCCAAAACTGGTGGTTGTCTGGGCAGTCTTTACATCTTTGTGACTTGGCAGCCCAAAGATGGCCTCTGACAGAATAGAATGGAACTTGCAAGAAGGAGCCAGGTCAGAATTCCAGATAGTAAATTGTAGTGGAAGAGAAAAATTGAGTTAGCTTGGCCCCGCTGGAAAGATCCCTGCTGATGTGCTTCACCAGCTCTTCCACTCTTAACAGCTGTGTGAAGGGTAAAGCAGATAGGTATGAGTGTGTGTGTGGAATAAGCAGAGGCATAAGTTCCTGCTTGGCTTTGAAGAAAAGACTATGTATGGGTCCCCGGATGAAGTCTTGATATGACTCTGCTTGCCTTATTGCAGGATCATATTGTCTTATGTGAAGGTGAGGACACAAAATTGCAACTCAAAGGTGAGAAGATAATTTCTATTCCTTCTCTGTCTCATAAAAGGTGCATTCAGTACACATTTATACTGTATTTTCTTGTGCTTCAGTTCAGTGTTTTTATATTATGATATTATTGTTATTGTTATCATTGTTACTGTTCTGCCTTTTGGCATAATAACAGGAGAGGGATAACCCTAGCCAAAGATGCTAAGATTAATTAGTTAGAACCTACACGGGGATGTCATCTGGGCTGATGAGCTGGTCTTACTGTTGTACTTACAACAGTAAGTAAGAGTAAGTACTCTTACTTTGCTCTAGGTGACTCTGGGTATATACCTTGAATGTGAAAGAAACTGTTCTCTGTTTCTACCAAATCATTAAACTCAAAGAAGAACTGGTCTGTTTAGAGTAGAAAGCTGTTACAGGTAAGATTTTATCAAGTACCGTCAACTCAAAAATCACCAGGATAGGTAAATGTTTGCAATAATACCTGGGGGAACATCTCTTTAAACTGAGTTCCTTAAATAAACTTCCTGGTTATTCTAGTTCATCTGTTCCTTAGAGATGATTAAGGTCTCTGGAAAGTACTTTGAGCAGCTCCAAAACGGGGAAATGTAGTAGCCCAAGATAGTATTGGGAAAAACCTGCTGCTATCTTTTCTATGCCAGACCTCTTAGAAATAATTCTTATTCTCACCAGAGTCAAGTCTGAATTCTTGAATTCTGTATATAAGTATTTAATTCACTGTGTTAATGACATTTTGACCTTGTTACACAGCTACAGAGAATACACAATCTTCAAGAGAAGAACATGATGAGAAATGTGACAAAGGAAAAGAAGAACGAGCAAAGGAAACTGAGTCCAAACTCAAGATTGACAATCACGAGCCCAGGTTAGGCCCCAGGCCTCGCTCACACAACAAAGTCCTCAACCCACCAGGTGGCAAATCCAGCATCTCTTTCTACTAAAGGAAACTAATACCAGCATCTTCAGACTAGGAACTCTTCTGTTAGGGTGTCAAGGTTTATAGTTTCTAATTACTACAAGTTAGGATGGGGCAGGAAGGGGAGGGGTTGATGATTTATGTGTGAAGATTTTCATGTAGCTCGTTGTTCAAACTTGTCTTCTAGAAACAGCTAGAGCTACACAGGACCAGGGGACACAGAGCCTTTTAGAGAATAGAGAAAACAAATCTTATGGGAGCAATAAGAAATTCCCCAGTTTTGCATCCAAGAATTAGTTCCAAATATGAGGAAGTCTTTGATGAAGTAAAAGAAAGTGGGGAAAGAGTAGGATCTTCATGGGTACCAGGAACATCTGTGTTTTGGTGGGCAAATGTACATCTAGGGATGGTCCTTCAGCAGTAGCCATTGACAGTGTCACTAGGGGACTAAAAACTCATATGAATGATGTGTTGGACAGCTGCTAGAGGATGCTCCCCCTATCTTGTCTGGTAAAGGGATACAACCTGTGTTTCAGAAGGATAATAGATTCATTTAGCTCACAGAGTCCTTACGTTATAAAGTGATGATACAGGACCTTTACCTTTTCTGGGAGCACTACTAATATTTGAGAAAACAGGTGTCAAATCTGTGTCCTTTTAAGTTTGCATCCATGACGCATTGTTCTACAGACATCCTGTAGGCTTTTTGACCTTTTCCCCACAAAAGCCAGGAAAAGACTCACTAAGCTGCAACTTGAAAGGGATATTGGACTTGATTTGAACTCTTGCAAGTGCTTATCAGTCAAGCCAATTTTCCTTTTCCCTTGTTTGTAGATCTATTCTTAATGGCATATTTTTGAACCCACATCTTCCAGGGGCATCCGTACCTTCTGTCAGCTAGAAGCCCTTAGCCTGATCTTAGATCAAAAGGCCTGCCTTACATGAGAGAGTAAGTTGGATCTCTTATTTACTGGTTTTTAAAGTGAATAGTTTCTCCCTGCCATTCTCATAAGCCTTAAATGCCTTTGACTGCCTCTGCAGTTCACCAGTGGTGTGAACATTCTACTTTCACAAACCACAGTTCTTTTCTAAAGGTGGGGGAGTGGGGCCTTTCGGTCTTTCGTAAAGGCCTTATTAACCTATCCAATTTCTTTCCGATATTTTGGTTATTCAGATTTTTCTAAGACTTTTTTTTACTGTAATCAGTTGATGGAAGAGTAGAGAAAATCACTGAAAACCTTTACTTCTTCAAAATAAACATTTTGGACAATATTTAAAGAGCCTTTTTTAATACTTTTCAAATATCAGCCTCACAAACTGCTGATGACTTTGAACCATTTATGACACCTTAATTACAAAGGTACACTAAAGAGTAATTTATTACAAAGGTACACTAAAGAGTAAGCAGAAAATTCCCTTGTATGAGTGATTACTCATTTTGGGGAATCTCTGCAATCTTTTGCCCAGTAAAAATAGAAATGTTAGATATGGAAATTAACTCGATCTACTATCATTGGATAAAACAGGAGTTTTTCAAGTGGAGATAATAGACTGCAATTTTCTTGAAGCTATTCTAATCACATTTAACTATAGAATCATGTCCCTTTGATCCATTTAGGGAAAATGTTCCTCAGTCAGGTTAAATGACACTATATTTTACAATTCCATGTCTCTTGCATTTTGGAACATCTGTTACTACCATGCAAGTAGAGCAGATGAAGTTTCATGGTTTTATGATGGATATCTATAAGGTGAGCACCAAATTCTGGAAATATTGTTCTACTTAGAATATTTAGCAAACTGACACCTTGTATTAATATGTACCCTTTGTCCTCAATATTTAAGTGCCTGTAGGAAATTGCTGTTAAACACTCTTTATTTGGCAAATTAAGGGGAACTGGCACATGGGATTTGTTAGCCAAAGATTTTACCTCTTGAGGATTCCCTCATGATTTTGGAGATTGCTTTATAGCCAAGATAAGGTTGCTGTTTCCTGTGAGCCAGTACAGATAATACCCGGTTTAAATAATGGGCAGTGTTTTAGGATTTCAGAAGTCAGTTATTTGAAATGATATCATTTTTATGTAGAAACAATGTTGTACATGGTGATTAAATTCTTAGGCTAGATAACAGAAGGCTGTTTAACCCAGAATGTTGCTAAAACTATGGAAACCAATCACCATTTATAACAGTGTGTCTATGGGAAAACACATTTTAGGTGCTAGCTTATGGTGGCAAAAACATACCTCATTAAGCCATATCCCTGGCAATGATAATTCCCTTTTTCCACCTGAATTCTGAAGCTCTAAGCCACTAGTGGTAACTCCTAGAACAAGAATTCAGGTAGAATGGGGTGGTGAGCAACAAGGGTGAAGTATCCAGCGAGGAGGACAAGAAGTGTTCTAAATAGCAGCCGAAGGATAATGTTTTCCCTCCCCTTTTAACTTTTTTTTTCCCCTTGTTTCCTGATGTATCTTTTTGCTGTGGACCCTGAAACTGGGGGTAGAGGGGCTCTGGAAGGGTGGGGAATGAAAGGAGCCCACAAGAATGAGATTGGCTAGCAGGAAGAAGTATTAATGCATCTGTGCTCATTTGTATGTAAAGGAGGTACATATGTCTGGCATTTGTGTGTTGAACTACCTGTATTTGGAAGATCCAAAGACTCTTAGCATCCTACTCTCAGTCTCTTCTAAAATGCATTAAGAAATTAATTGTCCTTGTATTTTTTTTTATTATGCCTTAAAACTTGTTTTTTAAATGCAGTTGATGCCAACATTTTCTCTAGAACTACTTATATTTTACAGTGTAATTTTGATGGGGCATTTTCTTACTTTTGCAGGGCAGAAATGGGAATAACAGTTACATTTAACCTGGCAGTCATGTAGTCAAAATCTGTTTTTGTGTTTTCCTTGCCAGACCTTTCTTCAAAATTCCTGAATTCAAACCTTTTTTTTTTTTTTTGTTCTGATAAAATGGAGGTTGACATTTTTAGCTCACTAGGGGGTGTATATTTTTCTCTCAAAGGGAATTGTTCATTTTCACTTTTTCCCACAAACTGTACATTTATTAAACACCTTAACTTTTGAGTAGAATGAGCATGCCAATGTTTTTTCAACTGGTATTTTTAGTTAGTTACAAATTATTTCCCTTATTCATCCTTACTTTAAGAGTGTAATCTGTTTATTATGCTTTTTAACCTCTTGGTAACAGAAACTATTGAATTTACCCATGTGCTTACTTTGAAAATATTTAGTCTGGAATGACATTTATGGAATTAGGGAGGGGACTTAGTATGGTCCTCAGCTACTTGAGAACTTAGAGGAAGGGGGTACACTCCTTTCTTTTTTGCAGGAAAAAAAATTAGCTATAATGGGTTACCTGAAAGAGGCATCTCATGTCATAGATTAATTTTTTTTGTATCTGCCTAGCATTACTGCACTGATTAAATAATTAGTTTTTGCACACATAAAATTGAACAAATTCTTCCTTAGTCATAGCTGGTGTTTATAATACTCTTTTAAAAAAAGTTTGCAGAGTGTGTTCCTTTTCATTTGATCCTTCAAACCTCCCTGAGAGGATAGGAGCTACTGGTATGATCCCCTTTTACAGGTGAGGAACAGGCATAGAGAAGTTAAGAGATTTGCCCACAGTCACACAGGTGGCAGAAGTGGGTTTTGAATCTATGTCTTGAGTGACTCAAGTCCAGCCCTCTCCTGCACAAAACTAGCAGTATGTAGATTCAGAGGAATTCGCTGAAGTGTTAAATATTGCATAATTAGGTATTGAATAACAGAAATCAAAGGATAATTACTTGCTCTAATTATTGTACTTTGTTCAAGTATACAGTGATTCATTTAAAGTATACAGTGATTCATAGGGTGTGACTTGTATCCAGTCCTATTATTTTTGTTATGCTGAATCAGGCAAAATTTAAATGAAGCACATTTCTTCCTGTTTAATCATATACTTTTTATATTTACCTCATGCTTCTTACTGAGCCCAAGTATCATTCTTTCCAGTAGACTATTAATGAAGTATGATTGCTATTTTGTGTGTAATATTAGAATGGTGCTATATAAAAATTCAATTCTGTAAGAAAATGAGAAGGCACTTATTGGAGCTGAAGTGAATTTTGTTTTGAGAAAAGACATATACAGCATTAAAGGTGGGTATTTAATATTGGTCTCCACCCTCCTTGGCACATAAGTATCTTAGAATGTTTTAATAGGAATCACATAGGGGCAGCTAGGTGGCGCAGAGAATAAAGCACAGGCCCTGAAGTCAGGAGGACCTGAGTTCAAATGCGGCCTCAGACCAAACACTTGACACGTAGTAGCTGTGTGACTCTGGGCAAGTCACTTAACCCCAGTTGCCTAAAGAAAAAAAAATGGAATCTCATGTCAAATTGAGCATTTAGTTTTCCCTCAGGAATTAGCTTTCTAAATTTAGTTTTCTGAATTGTTAAGTTGTTATTTCACAATTGCAAAATAACTGGCTTTTGAGAATTGTCCTATAATTACTCCTCCTCAAAAATCTCATGGAGACATTACTGTTTCTACTATTGATCAGCTCAAATGAGCTGTAAGTATATGCTGTGATCTTGCTAATATTGTTAAGTGCTTAAATCTTATATGATAAACAGTTTAGTAATGCATATCTACATTTGGGGAGTTGGTTAACAACATTGATGATTAAAGTTTGAAATGGCCATACTCTATGCCTTTTGCATCCTCCTTAGGTGTTATCATCAGTCAGCAAGTATTTGCATATTTTGTACCAGGTGTGCTGCTAGGTACTGGGGATACAAGTACAAAGAAAGAAACAATCTCTACTCAAAAGGAGCTGAATTTCCACTTCTCTTAGAAAAGTTGGAGAGGGGAGCAGGAGATGAGCTATTTTTTTTTAATAGTGTAAGGTGGCATCTTAGTAAAGTTTACTTCTGCTTACACAAGAGGTGTCAAATATGAGATCCACAATACTGCCAGTGAGGCCAAACCAGATTAAAATGTCATTGGGAAAGAATTAACAAAATAAATAAAAACAATAAAACATAGATAACATAACATTTTTAAAATAAGCCCGGTACTGATTAGTGGGTCACACGCTGCCTCCTTTCTGAGTTTGACACCATTGCTTCACACACACACACACCCATCTCCAACACACTAAAGGTGGCAATACTAAATACTCTGTTCTTTTATCTCTTCTGTAGTCCTCCATGCATCAAAGAAAAGTTTAGGAAATACTTGTCCATATTTATTCATCAGCAAGTATGTTTTTCAAAATGTGTTGCCAAAAGTTCTATCCTTTGTCCAATTTTTCTTTCATTCTCTACGTGAATACATTTAAGTGCATTCTGTGAGTTAAACGTGGTACTAGTCATTGGGTACAAGTAAAAGGAAAGAAACGATCTACTCAAAAAGAGTCCAGTTTCCATTCCTTTTAAAAGGGGGGCAGAGTGAGCTAAGGTAGTAAAGCATAAAAAAGTTTTCTTAAAAAGTGTAAAGTGGCATCTTAGAATTAAATAATCTCTCTTGGCAGTTTCATTCACTCCAGTGTCCATGAACAATGGCTTGCTTTGTGACAGGCACTTTGCTAAATGCTGAAAAAAGAATGAAACAATCCTTATTCCCAAGGCATTAACATTTATTGGGGAAAAATATGTGTATATAAAACATAAAGAGAATAAATACACATCAATTGGGGAATGGCTGAGCAAGTTGTGGTATATGAATGTGATGGAATACTATTGTGCTCTAAGAAATGATGAACAGGCTGACTTCAGAAAAACCTGGAAAGACTTGTATGGTCTTATGCTGAGTGAAGTGAGCAGAACCAAGAGAACATTGTACACGGTAACAGCCACGTTGTGTGATGATTAATATTGATAAACTTAACCCTTCCCATCAATACAAGGATATAAGACATTTCCAGAGGCCTTGTGATGGAAAATGCTATCCACATCCAAAGAAAGAACTATGGAAGTCAAATTACTATTTTTTTTCTCTTCTGTTGAGTTTTGTTTCCTCTTTCTGATGGTTCCTCCTATTGGTTTTAATTTTTACTTACATCACTAATGTGAAAATATGTTTACTAGGAATGTAAATGTATAGCCTATATCAGATTGTCTGCCGTCTTGGGGAGGGTGGTGGGGAGGAAGGGGGAGAAAAATTTTGAACTCGAGCATATGGAAGTGATTATTGATAAATCAAAATAAATTAATAAAAAAATCCCAAAAAACAAAAAAGAATAAATGCAGAGTTGTTCAGGCAAGAGGGCACTAGTAGGAAGATCAGGAAAGGTTTCTGGTAGGTAGTGTTTGAGTTGTTTCTTGAATAAGAGGGGTTCTGAGGTAGAGGTGAGAAGGGAATATTTCAGGTGTAGGGGATAGGTAATGCAAGACAGAAGTTGGAGTACCATGTGTGAGAAACAGAAGGCCAGTTTGATTGGACTCTAAAATGCAGCAAAGGCAATAATGTGGATAGACTGGAGCCTGATAGTGAAGGGCTTTAAAAACCAAACAAAGGAATGTATTTTTTGTTAAAGGCAGTAGATGCTGGAGTTTGAGTAAGATAGTTGATGTGATTTGGACAGCGCTTAAGTGCTTACTATGGCCCTGCACTGCTCTAAGGACAAGATATAAAAAAGGCAAAAAAAACCCAAAAACCCAGTCCATGCTCCTAAAGAGCTCCCATGGTCTAAGGGGGAGAGACAACATGCAACATGTACAAACAAGATATATGTTTTGTATACATATACACATATACGCATATATGTAGTGAATTGGAGATAATCAACAGAGGGCAGGTGCTAATAATATTAGAGGAGATCAGGAAAATCTTCCTGTAGAAGATGGGATTTTAACTGGGCCTTGAAGAAAAGCAAGGAAGGCAGATGATAAAGAGGAAAAATGTTCCAGGCATGGAGATAGCCAGAGACAATGTCTGGAGTCAGGAGGAGTGTCTTCAAGGAATGATGTGGAGGCCAGTATCACTAAATCACAAAGTATTATGGGGGAGAAGGGGGGTAAGAAATGAGGCATAATAATCGAAAGGTAGGAGAAGGCCATATGATGAAGGGGGCTTTGCCAGAATTTTATGTTTGGTCCTTGAGTAGATTGTAGTCACTGAAGTTTATTAAATAAGGGGTGACATGGGCAGACCTAGGCTGTAGGAAGAGAAGTTGACAACTAAAGGGAGGATAGACTGGAGTAGAGAGATTTGAGGCAGGAAGACCAATGTGGAAGCTATTGCCATCAGTTCTATAAATGAGGGAATAAAGGCTTGCACTGGGGGTTGTGGCAGCGTCAGAAGCAAGAAGGGGGTGTATACGAGATACTGAAGACATAGAATCAAGATGACTTGATAGCTGATTGCATGTGGGGAGTGAGAAAAAGGGGTTGAGGTTGACAGTTGCAAGCCTGGGTGACTGGGAGTTTTGTTAATCACTGAGGAATGAGTTCAGATAAGTTAGCAACATCTCCCTAGGAGTTCACGTTTAGGATGGAGACTCGAGGACATTATGCGGCATGTGTAGCTAGAGGAGGATAGGAAGAAGTACCCAGACTCAGGCAGATAACTGTTGAAGAAAGCTCAATAAAAGGGAACTTCCTTTTTTGCCAATAAGCCCAGGCAGAGGACTGGTGGTGTCAGCATGGTAGAACGAGCTGTCACTGGTTCCCCACAAGCCCAATCAGGGAACAGTAACATTATCCCCAGGCAGATGACAATCCGTCTCTCTATGAAGAAGGGATGTCATCATGTGATCAGAACTACACATTGGTCGCTGAATTATTGCCAAACTTGTTTTTATGTTATCTTCATGGTTGCTGGATAGTTAGTGTGTATATTTTCCTGGTTTTGCTTTCTCCACTCAGTATCAATTCATGAAAGTTTTCACATATTTCTCTACATTCCTCATATTCATCATTTCTTATGATTCAATAGTATGCTGTTACATTCCTGTGACACATTGTTCAGCCAATCTCATTTGATAGGCTCCTAGAAGTTTCCAGGGTTTTTGCTACTACAAAATGTACTGCTATGAATATTCTCATATATGGGGCTTTTATTTTTGCCACTGACCTCCTTAGGTTA